ATATATATATATATATATATATATATATATATATATATATATATCCTGGCTACATATACTGTATAATGGTTTATGCCATTAATTTTACTTCCTACATAAAAAAGGAAAGCTTAACTTTTTTGCTAAACTTATGTTTTAAACTTTGTTTTTCTTAAATGTATGTAAACATTTGCTTTGTTTTTATTTCCTTTTTTGTTTTAAGAACTGCTTACTATTAGTTTCCTTATGTCCCTCTTTGCCTTATTTGGATATTTATCACCTTCGCTGAACAGTTCCTTGGAAACCTGCATGAGGACAGGGTGCTAAGACAGCATTAGATTATGATTGAATAGAAAATGTCTACAATCTGCCAAAGCAGAGTTGAGAAAAGGCAGATTCTGTTTCATTTCTGTGATGTGCAAACCCTTCAGTGCTATTACCTGTTGTTTTATGTTTTGTTTTTATCCAACAAGGGTGCACTTAACCTGAGTGCTGCTGCTTTTTTAAATTAAATTATGTCTGATTATCTTTAAATTATACGGTTTTGTTGAAGCTTTAAATTGAGCAAAGGGTAATGTAAGCGTTTCTTGTTGGTTAAATTGCTGGAAAGGAAAAGTATATTTCACAGATGCTGTTCTGCAACATTTTATTGAATTTCATTTTATGTTTTCTAAGGTATGGGTTCGCTGAGATATGCAGAATTTAAACTTAAGAGAATTCAAACTATTTTTTTATTTTATAATTTTATCAACCTTTGTGCAGAGATTTGTTGTTACTCCAGAAATAAAATGCTCAGAAAAAAATCAATAAAAGTATTTCTCCTGTCATTAGTCTGTGACCGGTCACGAGGAATGTGTGGAGGCCTTACTTCAGCACAGCGCCAATGCCCTGGTACGAGACTGTAAAGGGCGCACGCCGATCCACCTGGCAGCGGCTTGCGGACACATTGGGGTACTCGGAGGCCTTTTGCATGCTGCCCAATCAGTGGAAACACTGCCTGCCTTAACAGACAGCCAAGGCTACACCCCACTGCACTGGGCCTGCTACAATGGTACAGACAAGAAGGTTTAAAGACCTTTTAAACCGAGCAATCAATAAATACAAATTGATATACACAGATGTAAACCTGATGTTGTAGCATGTAGGCACTTAAATGCAAGCATGTTGCTGATTTAGCAGAGAAGATGCAGCACTAAAATGCTTTTTATTGATTTATTTTTCAATTCAATGTCTTTATGCACCTAAATGATAAATGTGATGTTTTTAACTAAATAAAGATTAAAGTTTTTTTTGTTTTTAATTGATGCTCTCTCCCATAGGCCATGATACATGTGTGGAGGTTTTGCTCGAACAAGAGATTTTCCACAAGGCTGAAGGCAATTCTTTCAGTCCTCTCCACTGTGCTGTGTAAGTGCCTATTTAGGTTTGGCTTAATGTGTTAGAAAGCTCAGCTTTTAAACAAACAAATAACCCTGGGGCTGCATTTCTGTTTTTTTGTCTTTTTACTATTCAGAATTCGGGACAATGAAGGCGCAGCTGAGATGTTGATAGACACTTTAGGTCCTACTATTGTCAACTATAAAGACAGCAAAAACAGGTACACCTTATCATAAAGCTTTTAGCCTCAAAGAGTTAAGAGGTTACTGTTCACGTGAATCATAGTGAAATACTTCAATTTGCAATATCTGATGATTTTGAACTCCTTGTTCAAAATAATATTCTGTGCTCAGGACCCCCCTGCATGCCGCTGCCTTCACAGACCATGTGGAGTGTCTACAGCTGCTGCTGAGCCACAACGCTCAGGTCAACTGTGTTGATGCTGCAGGAAAGACCCCGCTGATGATGGCTGCTGAGAACGGTCAGACCAACGCTGTCGGTACGAATGCTCCAGTGTTTTTAACACAGTATGATTCCTATGTGGTACAAAATAAACAATGGAACATCAGATTAGACTCACTGTGTTTTCCCTGCGTAGAGCTACTGGTCAGCAGTGCAAAAGCAGATCTCACTCTACAGGATGCTGCAAAGAACACTGCACTACATCTGGCCTGCAGTAAGGTATGCCTGACCATCTGTGTGTAGTGTTTTAATCGCTGCAAGTATTTCATGCTTTGATCACTATTTTTTTTGCATGTAATCTAATTTTTTTTTTGTGTCTATCTGCATCTACAGGGACATGAAACCAGTGCCTTGTTGATATTGGAGAAGATTACAGACAGAAACTTCATAAATGCTACAAACGCCGCCTTACAGACGTATGCATCATTTAGCTCTTTATCGATCCGTCCAAAGCTTTGAACAAAAACGGCTTTTTAACAGAGCTGGATATCTCTTTGTTTAAAGACCCCTCCATGTGGCTGCAAGAAATGGGCTGATTGTGGTGGTGCAGGAGCTGCTTGCAAAGGGGGCCAGTGTCCTTGCGGTCGATGAAAACGGTAACCACTCTCACTTATTTAGGTGTTGAGGCTTTCTGTAAAGATATTCTTGTTTTTCCTCCAACATTTCTTTTTGTTAGTAGGGCTACGTTGTTTTCATTTTGACATTAGGACGTAGGTGTTATTTTAAACATTTTAATTGTATCCCATCTACAAGAAAAAATTGGATTTCTGTAGCAGCATTAAGTCTCAATCAAAGTGTTATGCAGAGTCATTTCCTTTTGTATATTTATGTAGAACACATTATGTTGGAAGTCTATAATTAAAAATAAGCATTTCCCTAAGTCATCCAAATATCTTTGTCTTAATTTAGTGAACATTTTGCTTTTTAATGGAGATCAAGACAAAATGTGTTTTTTTTTTTATCATTACACTAGAATAGTTATATGCAATTTTATTTTATTTTGTTTTGCATTTCTTGTAGTGACTAATTCAGTACTTAAGTCGATATGTCATGCACATTGTTTATATAAGCTGAGTGTAGCAGAACATGAAGGAAACCTTCAGATAATGGAGAGCAATGATTTTGTTTGAGCAGGGAGAGACCTCAGGCTGCATCCCATGCAGGGTAGGTAGCCATCTGCCACAGGTTGCTCTGCCAGGTAACACCCACCAAGTGTGAGGAGACTGGATTTGCAGACTTTTTAGCAGCTGACACAGATCAAATAATTGTAACTATAGAGGTTTAAATACCTGTTTTCAGATACTTGGAGAAAAAAAAAACAAGGATAAACCAAAGGAGAAAGCTGGAATGATATTGGTTTATTGGTTTAACGCTGCATATTAAGATGAACTTGATCAATCAGGACAGATTTCTTAAATGTGGTTCTGTGCAGACTTGCTGCTCCTTTGTCTTGATTCAGGCAGGAGTAGCAGTAGGAGATCATTCACTCCTGGCAGTTGATCGCTGAATAGTTGATCGGTTTACATGCAAGAAAAGCTATTGCTGTCACATTAGATAGATTTAGTCACTTGAACTGCCAAATGTTCAGGGGAGTCAGGAATGTCACACACCCTGTTCAGAGACCTTAAGGACCAGCAACTAATACCTTATATAATCATTCTATGACCCCTTTAAAGTTTTGTGTCCGTTCAGGTTAAAAAATGTCTCATTGAACAGGAGAAAAATGTTTCCTTTCTTGCAAACATTTTTGCGCAAAGTTAAAGGATCCTTTTGCACATCTTTGAACGCAACAGCCTGGTTGTGCTGTAGATAGTGACGATTGGATGTGTTACTTTGGGTTGTCCCCCCAGTTTTTAGAAAAACTTTGCATTTTGTGTTCTTTTGCTCAACATCTATTGTGTAATTTTGGTGCCACGGAACTGAACATGCAGTGTGAAAAATGTGCACCGTTTAAACTCACACACCCTCACTCAACCCTTCTGCCGCACGCTCAACCTCTTCTCTGCACGCTCAGCTTTATCTCTGCTCTAACTCGGCTCCACCAGAGTAACTGATTTGATTTCGTTTACAGCTGTGTTAGACGCTTCTTTACTGGGCTCATCTGCCATTCTCTTTGTTTACGCTTTTGACTGGATCAGTGGAGTCACATGATTCCCCATATGCTGCAGTTTCTTAAAGGGGAAGGAAATACCAGCCATCAGCGAACACAGATTAAAAAGAAGCAAAACTAGGTTTATTTATTTTACCAACATGGGAAAATTGTTGCTGGTTATTGTAGTGCATGATGGTAATGGTATATATTCAGTTTATCGCCCAGATCTAAGTCAGGCTCGCCTCCACAGATGGCCTGCCGCTGGAAGCCAGCTCCTTAAGAGTATCTGGACTCTTCTATTGAGGTGGGAGAGTCGCAGGGCTGGAGTGGGTCTGCTTGTCTCCCCCCAGCTTAGCCGCCTCGTGTTGGAGTTTAAACCAGTGGATGAGAGGGCTGCATCCGTTCGCCTTTGAGTAGGGGGACGGTCTTTGATCATGTTCCTCCACCTGGACGGGCATGATCAGAGGGAACAGACCCCCAGCTCTGAGCCTGAGTGGTGTTTCATTTTTGGGCTTCTCTCTAAGTCAAGAATTGTCCATAATGGAAATTATTTTCGAATATAAGGATGTCCATTGTTACAGTAGGCACCAGGACAACCCTAGGTTGGATGCCAGTGATCTTTGTAGTCGATCTTCGGCTGAATGTCTTGGACCCTCGGGTGAAAAGAGGGGCGGAGCTATCACCAATCACCACCTGATGGTGATCTGACTACGCTGGAAGAGGAGGAAGCAGGACTGACTCATCAGGCCCAAACAAGTAGTGAGGGTCTGCTAACGTCTGTTCAACGTTGTGTGAAGCAGCTGGGATCAGAATCAGCTCCTCCAGGTCTGAGGCCATGGTTCTCGACTGGAGAAATGTCCCCTTCAGCTTGGAGGAGAGTTCCTGCCTCGGGTGGAGGAGTTCAAGTATCTTTGGGTCCTGTTATGGGGTGGGGGGAGAATGGAACAGGAGATCATTAATTTATTCCCTCACCTATGGTCATGAAATCTAGATCATGAGCAACAGAACAAGATCCTGGATAGAAGTGGCTGAAATGAGCTTTCTCGTTACACTCTCCAAAGTGGAAACTTTTCTCAACAACCTGCTTGATTTTTTTCCTTTTTCTTTTTTGTTTCCTCCTGATGTTGCAAAAGCTTTCCCACCTGTATTTGCTGTTGTCGGGACACCAAAAGAGATTATACTGGGCTTTTGTTTATCTGTTAATACAGAGAGAAAGGATTGGCATTTGATATGTTTTAGAAATGTTACTTATATAAAGTGTTTTACAGTAATGAGCCTGATTAATTTGCACCAAAGTTTGTCAGATTTTGGAGACATTTAGGTTTGCTAGGAACTATTGGTAATTTTCCTTGGCTTGTTTATATCCTGTATGCCTCATTGTTTTTCAGGTTACACGCCCGCCTTGGCTTGTGCCCCCAACAAAGACGTTGCAGACTGCCTCGCTCTCATCCTGGCCACCATGATGCCTGTTTCCCCCTGCACCTTGGCGCCCACCCTTCCTTTCAGTGCCGTTAACCACTACACCACCAGCCCCTCCAAGAGCGCCACCTTCGACAGCCTGCCAACGTTGCGCAGCGACCACACCTCCTACTGCAGCTTCAACAACATCAGCCATCACGACGGCTTCTACAAAGACGAGGAACTCAATGACTCTGATTCCGAGACGTACTGAAGCAGGCAAAAGAGGAATGGCGCTGAATGCACAAGCACATACACTGTGTCTTAAAAACAAAAAGAATCACCTACCACAAGCTTGGGAGGGCTTCTCAAGACGCAATCTCCTAAACAGGAGCCTTGAGAGTCTCCACTGGAGAGCAAAAGAAGGGAGGAGGTGCAACAGGCTGGCCCATGCTCATCCCAACCTTATCCAGCACAAGGTGCCCTTCAGCTGATACTGGAGCTCAGTAACCACTGCTTTACCAACGCTGACTCTTCAAGTGTTAGAAACTGATGTTGTCTGGCAGAAGGCAGCTGTTTTAAGGCAATAACATGCTGAAAAGGTGTGTGTGCACACCAATGGATAGTTACACCAAGAGGGACCAAAAGAGTTTTAACTCTGTTTTAACTACGTAAATGACTAAGTTTGATTTCAGTTGGCTTTTTCTGATCAGTAAGGATAAAGAGAGTAGTTTCCATCCAGTATCTGCACACTACATCTGTCATAATGAATTTAAAACTTGTACTTCATATTGGGGGGGGTCATGTATTTTTCAAAAATCAAAATTTTAATAAACAAATTTAAATGTCTTAAACTCCCTTTTTATTTTAAATGGCTGATTCACTATCCTGAGTAAATTTCAGACATTTGTTACATGTGACAGGTTATTAGAGATCGACCTTACCTTTGTATATTCACCTCTTCATCACAGTTTAGAATTGAAATGACTAATTATTTGTACACTTTTGGTTCATTTTGTTTGTTCATTTTGTGCCTTCTAAGTTAAAAAAAAAATGGGTTTGGAGAGGCAGCTGTGAAATTGTGCTTTTGGTGAGTTTAACCACTGATCTGGCACTGAGGAATCTCTGGCTCTGCTTGGACATGAGAAACACTGAAAATGAATATAATTGCATTTTGGAAAGCATTTGGTTTTCTTCCAAGTGACGTTTGTTCTTTCTAATATTAGTTTTGCTTGCTTTAACTTAAATTAAAAAAACAACAAAAAACAAAACAAGACTCTTATACCAGAATGCAGAAACTCACAGTTTTGATCATTAAAATGCTATTTTAACTGGAAGTGTGTACATTTGTTAGAATCGATAGAATGGGAAGATTTTCATTTCTTTCCCTTGCTTTTTCTTGAAGAGGAATGAAACTAGCATGTACATAGAAATTTTGACTGTGAATTCAAAATTGCATTGAGTTCTTTCAGTACTGAGATTGCTGTATATTTTATGAGTAATAAATGAGTTATTTAATAAGGAGCATGAGTCTTTTTTTTTTTTTTTTTGTATTGCCTATAATTGTATTACTTCAATTTACCACAAGGTGGATACTTGTCCCAGAAGAAATAATTAAAAAAAAATGTTAAGAGAAAAAAATTAATTTAACATTTTAAATTGTCTGGAGAAAGATTAAGAATTTTGCTAGACTGAGACGCCGCTAACACCCAATTATTTTACTTAGCAGAGGGCTGTAGTGCTTCTAAACAAAGAACCAATCAGCAGCGGGGGAGGGGCTGGGCTTCTGATTGGTCCGTAATCCGGAAATAAACCAAAATGGGCGTGTCGAAGGCGCTCTAGGTTCCAAAGAGTCAAAGCTATGACATTAGTTTGAGTTATTAGCCCAAGTTTAATAAACCGAAGGATTAAAAGGGATTTCTCAGGAGTCATGGACGAAGTGACAGGCGCTCAGCTCATTGCTGAGTCTCTGAAGACTCAGGTAAGATGTTGAAATGTAGCTTTAATGCACCAGAACTGTGTCAGAGTTCATGGTCTGGGTAAAAAAAAAATAAAAAAAACTTGCCCAACTGCCAAACCTCAAACTATTTGGCGTTAATGTAATTCCGAGCTGTTTTCCATCCTGCAGAAAGTGGAGTTCATGTTTGGGATAGTTGGTGTTCCTGTGATAGAAGTGGCCATGGCTGCTCAGGCTGCTGGGGTCAAATATGTGGGAATGAGGAACGAGCAGGCGGTAATAACAGAAGCTCAGTGTTTGACTAAACCATTAGCATCATGTTCATTTATGGTTGTCTTCCAACAGGCGTGCTATGCTGCATCTGCGGTTGGATACATAACAGGGAGGTAAGTGTTTGAGTTGCTGAACAGAACAATGTGCACAGCTGCTGTGTCACTTTATCCACATGTTGCTTATTGTTGATCTGATGTGTGAATCCAGACCAGGAGCCTGCCTGGTGGTGTCTGGACCTGGACTCATCCATGCTCTGGGGGGGATGGCCAACGCTAACATTAACTGCTGGTACACCAGAAACAATAAACAAAGCTTTGACATGCTCTCACTACACATGTTATTCATTAAGTTTCTTTCTCTTTTTTTTTTACATTTAGGTTTTGGGGGAATTTTTAACTCTTTAAAATCCCTTTTGATCACTTGCCTTACTAATCCCCACCCCTCAGTGAGGTCTAGAAGCACTAGATCTATATCCAGCTATTCAGCAAAGATCCTGCTACATGGCTGTACATTTTATTTTGGCATTTGACCAATTAGATGAGCACTTGAATGATATATTACCTGCTGGAAATTAAGTTGAAAAGCAAAAGCTAAAAATTCAAGAAAATAAAAGGTAAAAAGCTAATTGAAAAGTTAAAAAGTTAATAAGCCAAGTTAGCAATTATATTTAGGTATATAAACTAAAAAATTTAAGTGCTAGTATCAGCATTAATGTCTCTAAGGTTATGTTGGACCAAAAAAAAAATGTGTTCCTTTCACTCTCTGAGTGTTTTTTAAATTAATTTCTTGTAGACACACTTTTGTTAGTTTTCTTAATATATTGAGGCAAGTTGGTGCTTCCTGTTATTACACTGACATTAATTTTTACCGTCAAAATATCCATATTTTTTGAATGTAACAAAGGTAATAAGGTCTGGTCCTGGATTCAATTACACTATTGACTGGATTTTTTTTATTTTCAAAGTATTTCTCTGAGTGTCCTATAAAGGGTTTTAAATGGAACAGCAACACGTGAAGGTGAGCAAAATTAGCAATTCAATTAATTAAAAAAAATAATAATATAGCACATAAAAAACATGCTTTGCAAAGAGATTCACAATAGAATAGAGTAAAATTCAACTTTATTGTCATTTAACTGTCAAAAGTACAAAGCAACGAAATGTAGTTTGCATCTATCCAGAAGTGCTATACAGGATATATATATTTATTTATATGTGTACAGAGACTATGTATGTATGGACTATAAATGGTATACATAAACAGAGACTAATTGTAAGAGGCTATAAAAAATAAATATGAAAACTATATACAGATTATGCAGGAAAGTTAGGAAATGGATTTTATATACATTAGCGGGGTTATAATACAGGATAAATAGTTACTATATCACAGATAAAAAGGGTTTAAAACAGAATTATGAATAAAAATAGAATAGTAATAAAAATTGCAATAAATTCACAATAAAAGGGAGAAAATAATGAATACTGCATTGGATTTACCTTTCAATTCCAATAGTTCCTCAAGTCTGGGATCAATATAATGCATTGTTTTCATCTTCTTTCAGTTAGTGTTGTAATGCATAGTTTTTAATTGTTTTTGACATATGAAAATCTGAGAAGTGCAGTGTTTATATGTAACCGGGATCTTTATGACCTGATACATGTGATTAGGCTACTAATTTGTGAACGGGGTCCAATATGGCAGCTTCGTGCTGGATGGATCTTAATAACTTGTCTTAGAAGCTGCAAAAGAATGGAGACTGTGTTAGAGATTCAACTTTTATTTTCATTATTAGAAGGGCTCAGTCAGTAAAAATCTTCATTAATAATGCAGGGAAGAGTCAAAGCTACACGATTTAGTCCAGCTAAGATTGTGTTTTGTTAAGAGTGGATACATTTTAACCCAGCAGATCCGTAGGGGAAAGCTGGTCTACCCTCCACTAAATAGATAAATGATACTTTGTGTTTTTCTACCACAAAACACCCGATAAAAGATACTGAAGTTTGAGGTTTTAATAGTGTAAAACTGGAAAAGGTTAAAGTGATATGAATACTTTTGCACGGAGCTGTAAAGTAGGTTTTGATTTTTTTACAGGCCGGTGATTGTGATTGGAGGCTCCTCTGATCGAAGCCAGGAGACAACAGGAGCCTTTCAGGAGTTCCCTCAGGTCTCTGGTGCTCCTTGTGGATTATTCTCTGTATTCAATTCACTGTTCTGATTCCTTTTTTTTGTTTGTTCTCAGGTGGAGTCATGCCACCTATACAGCAAGTTCTCTGCCAGGCCCAGTAGTCTGGAAGCCATTCCTTCAGTCATAGAAAAGGTGATTACAGGTCATCTCTTTTTATGTTGTAAAATCCATGTTTTTCTTAATAGTTAACTACATTATACCATGTCTGTTCGCCTGTAGGCAGTCCGCACCAGCATATATGGTCGCCCAGGAGCTGTTTACGTCGACATTGCTGGGGACATGGTCAATGCTAAAATAGAACGCAACAAAGTCAGGTTGGTTTCATTTCTTGCATGGTTTTTATTTAAGCTATCCTCATGTAGAGAAGCTGGTTTAAGTATTAAATATTATTATAAATGTGTCTCTGATGCAGAGAGGTGCCCTGCTGTCCACCTCCTCCTGTGAGCTCGGCTGCAGGCGATGCAATTGAAAAGGCCGTCTCTGTCCTGAAAGCAGCAAAAACACCGTTAGTCATCATTGGAAAGGGTAATACAACGAAAGGGTTATTTTTTCAAACCCGCCAAACTTTCAATCACTGCTGATAGGATAGGGATTTCAATTTATTTGTTTGCAGAATGATTCTGTGAGGGTTTGTTTTACTAAACAGGAGCTGCGTACAGCAGAGCCGAAGATGTGCTGCGGCAGTTTGTGGAGGAGACTGGGCTGCCGTTCCTCCCCACACCAATGGGGAAAGGAGTCCTGCCTGACGATCATCCCAACTGTGCTGCTGCCGCCCGCTCCAGGTCAGCGCCTCCGACCTACAGTTAGCCCAAGCTCAAGAAACAAACATTTAATAACAGGACCTCCATTTGAGAAGTGTTTTCACCTGTTTCATGGTGACATAATAAATGTTTTAACGGCTTCTTGTAATAACAATGAATTTTAGTTTATTTTTCAATCTGAACTGTTTGCTCAGGATACACATCTGGATAAAACGGAAGTTAATTGTCTAGAAAACATATAAGAAGAAATCATCTTCTCTCTTGCCAACACATCTGAGAAAACAAAGGAAACTTAGTATAACATGAAAGCTCTCACAGGGATTAAATACTTCAAATTTCAAATGAACATTCCTGCATTTCCTGTATTGATCATTCTGTAGCTCTGTGTTGGTTGCCTCTTGGCCACCAGTTGATCTTTCACCTTTAAATTCAGAAGCAAAGGCCTGCAGCTTTTAATGGTAGCAGCTAGTTTATCATCTTTGGCCCTCAGCATTACACATACCCAACAGCACCAACATGTGGTCATGATAAAGTACTTTTCCACATACTTATTCCTTGTTTAACGGCAGCCATCTCAAGTGTTCTGTGAAGCAAACTACTTTTTAACCCTCTTTAGCAAAGAACACAGTTCTCATAAATCTAGCAAATATTGTGTGTTTAAATTTATGATGGTATGACAGTAAACGCTCTTATTCATATTCATTCTTTAATATTTAATTCTATCCTGCCTATTATTCACGGTGGGTCCTTATCCAGTCTGAAACTGTTGTACCATGCTATGCTCAAAAGCTAGGGAAGCATATACCCATAGATTACTAATTTGATTTTAAAAGTCTTCTAGTTGCAAAAAAAGTTATGCTGGATTATAAAAAAGGTTTGGCTACATATCCTTTAAAGAACCTGTTTTTTTTTCTCTACATTTTACTGATATTTTGCCACAACAATAAAATAAATGTAATGTTGTTACGTAGAGCGCTTCTTCATGCCGATGTGGTGCTTCTGCTGGGAGCCAGGCTGAACTGGATGCTGCATTTTGGTCTGCCTCCCAGATTTAACCCTCATGTTAAGGTCATTCAGGTGTGTGAATGTGCATGAATCAAGCCACACTAAAACCTGGTATAAAGGCAGTAACCTGTTGCTGCTTTGGAGTAAAATAAAACCACCAACTTCTTGCAGGTTGACCTTTGCGCAGAGGAGATGGGAAACAACGTGACTCCAAGGGTGGCTCTCTTGGGGGACATTGGTGCTGTTGTGGCTCAGGTCTGTCAACAGATTCACCTGTTTGTATTTTCTGTAGCTGGAGACTGATTTAATAATTCGATCTCTGCCGTTTAGCTTTTGACTTGCATCCGCAATGATGGCTGGAGATATCTGTCCAATTCGGAGTGGTGGGGCACGCTCAAAGAGAAGATTGCTGCTAACGCGAAAATATCAAAGGTGTGTTTCCCTCACTCATCCTGCTGCTTCATTACCTTCGGAGGTATTCCTAATAGGAGTTTTTGCATTCGTTGCAGGCTCTCGCCCTCAAAGGAACATTGCCCATGAACTACTACACCGTGTTTCATCACATTTCCCAGTTGCTTCCACATGATTGCATCATTGTTAGCGAAGGTGCCAACACCATGGACATCGGACGCACCATGCTTAATAATTACCTACCCCGACACAGGTGAGGCGGCTTCTTTCTAAAGCGTCGGGTGCTGCAGCCGTGCACTGATGGAGCTGAGTGCAGAAGTTTAACAAATAATTAAAGAAATTCAAGTTAACACAGTTATGCCCTAAATTCAGTAAAGAAGTCAAACCTCAATTCCAGAATTTGGACAAACATGAGAGAAATTCCAGTATTAAAGAAGCATAGGGTTGTTTTGTTTACATGTTTGCGCCATAAGTGCTGTGAACATGGATGGGAGAAGAAGAACAGCACAGGTCTTATGTTTAGAAGCGTAAAGTCATCTAGGGAAAGAATGTTCTAAACATTAAGTTATTTTGAACAAAAAATCTTTGTAGCAAAAAGAGACTTTTTATCTTTTCCCAGGGTAGATATCAACCCTGTTAATAAAGACTCAGCAGAACAGCCAGTCGAAGAACAGGGAACAATGTGTCCCAGCCATGTGCACAACCAGAGCATCAGCCTGAATTACTCCCTCATAAACTGACTAAAGGGGCCTATTATAAAGGCAATTGTGGTACATAGAGGAAAACTCATTGATGTTGGGAAATTGAAAGGTATTTTATGAGAAATTAAATATATCTTTCTTCTTATCTTGTGCAATCCAAATTTAAACATTTGAATTTTAACATACCGGTACCTGATATTTGAAAAGAAAAGCGCTGGAGTGAAATGTTACATTTCTTAGCACCTTAATAACCATCACTATTCCCAACAACCTCAATAGGTTGTTACATTCATGCTGATTTTGCACAGTTCTGTCTTAGTCAGTTTAATAACATGCTGCTGTCATTTTGCACAGCTTTAATGTTGCTGCTGTTTTCAAATATCCATTACTGTAAAAATGTCCATAGCTGTATATTGGTTATTTATTCTCCCGGTGCACAGTATTTATATTGTAAAAATAATTTACAGTAGCCTACTTATTTGTTCACTTTTTTAACTCTTGACTATTCTGTTATTTTTATACACTTTTCTAAAGTCCACACTTGTGTGACTACTTTTGCTATAATCTTTGCTGCTGTAACACAAAAATTGTCCCTATTGTGGAACAATAAAGGGATATTCTATTTTATTCATCCAAATTTAAACAGTTGAATTGAAACATACCTGATATTTGAAGGTCTGCAGTTTAATTTCTTAGCACCTCTTTTAAAAAATGCCCATCTTTTATTGCAGCATAATCATTTCTAACTAAAAATTAGGGGGAAAACATTTAATCAGAATCAATATTTTTGCTTTAGAGATGACAGACAAAATTGTAGCCTTAAAAATCCCATTAAAAAATTAAACTGAAGTGTTTCTTATTCAGACCTATTTTTCAATTGTTCAGAGTGTCTTTGTGCTTCTTCATGATTCAATCTATGAGTTTCTGTTTGTCTGGGGTTTAAATAGCCCAAAATGGTCCGATTCTCTCACATTAGGACATGTCGTAGGAGTTGACTAAACCTCGTCTCAGTGGTGAAAACAGTTGGGACAATGGATTTTTATTCCCATGCTGAATAAAAGATTCATTAGTCTAAAGGTTTTCCACACTAACAATAGAGTGCTGGTTAAATTGTCAGGATAAAGTCTGAATGTCAGAGTCTGTGTTTGGTCACTATGGTGATGTGAAGGTTGGACGCCGGCACCTTTGGAACGATGGGAGTTGGCCTTGGCTTTGCTATAGCAGCAGCTGCAGTGGAGGGGACCAAGATCAAACCCCAAAGAGTCGTCTGCGTGGAAGGAGACAGCGCCTTCGGCTTCTCCGGCATGGAGGTTGAGACCATGTGCAGGTCCATTACACCGTGTTCATATATGATGTCTATATATATATATATATATATATATATATATATATATATATATATATATATATATATATATATATATATATGCACCAGCAGGCATTACCTTTAATGCTATGTCTTTCTTTTAAATTAGGTATAATCTGCCTGTGATCGTTATTGTGGTAAATAATAACGGTATTTACAGTGGATTAGACCCTGAGACTTGGAAAGAAATGTCAAAAATGGGCAACCTGACTTCTGTGTGAGTCTTTCATAAATCTAATTTTTGTTCCTATGTATTCTAAGGTGTGTTACAGCGAAAGCGTCTTCTCTTTCAGGGCCCCTCCTGTCGCCCTCCTGCCTGAGGCCCGCTATGACGAAGTGATGACAGCGTTTGGAGGTCGAGGGTTTCTTGTCAGGACCCCAGAGGAGCTGCGAGACGCCTTGCAGCTCAGCCTGGACGACTGGGAGAGGCCGTGTCTGCTCAACGTCCTAATTGACCCGTCATCTGATAGAAAGCAGCAGGTAGATGACCTACGTAGATTAGTCGGGGATATAAAGGATTTATGCCTTTTGAATTTCCTCCACATTTTTACAAAAACAAAGCAGCACACCATGAGTAAGTCCAAAGAAAAGAATGGTGTTTTTTATTTTTGCAAATATTAGTAGTAGTCAAAGAATTTTTTTCACTTTCCTTTTTCTCTTCATTAAGAAAAGTTCTATGCGCAAAAAGTTATATGTCACAAAAAAAAAAAAAAAACATTGGACATCACACTGGCAGCATCACTCTGTTAGATCCACAGGGAAGCTGCTCAGAGTTGATAAGGAAAATGGATGGAGTGAAATAACAAACAGTGGGGATCGGAAAACAAAACCTGCAGCAAATGACTTGAGACTGGATGGGAGTTTTACCTTCCACATAACAACAAATACAAACGCTGTAGATCAAAACACATTCATGCAAAAATTAAATCTAGATCCAGTTCAGAATCCATGGCAGGATTTGGAAATTGATGTTTATAGCTGTTCTTAATTTGACTAAGCTAGAGTTATAATGCAAGGAATAATAAACATGTTAAATTCTTAAGATGTGCTAAGCTGGTGGAAGTAAACTCTAAAGGACTTTCAGCTGTAGCTGCAGTGAAACATTATTCACAGGGAATTAGGGAATTCACATCACATTTTCGAGATTTCTATCTGAAAAAACTAGAAAAAAAAATTAAAGTAATTTAAATCCTGTTTTACACTGATACCCTTGTGCTGGTATATCAGATAAAACCCCATATAAAAAACACTTTTTCCAAATTAAAGTTACAGCCTTTTCTTAAATGGTATCAATTTTTTATCTGTCCTCCAAATTCTACACACAACCTTTAATGACAATGTGAAGAGGAGTTGTTACAAACATACTGAAAACAGAAAACTAAGACTTCACATTTCCATAAGCATTCACAGCCTTTTCTGTAAAGCTACAAATTGAGCTGAGGTCATGCTGTCAATGAATCATCTTCAAGATGTTTCTACAGGTTAAATGGAGTCCACCTATGGTATATTTAGTCAGTGGTGAAAAGTAACAAGTACATTTACTTTATTACTGTAGTTAGGTTCTTTTTTTTTTTTTTTTGAGTATCTTTACTTAACTCGAGTAATTTTTTGGTGGGGTACTTAAATCTCTCACTATCTCAACATATAAGATAGCAGCCATTCCACAAATGTGAAAAACTCGGCAGATATTATTGTTAGTTTGTACATTTTATTAAGGTGTTAGTTGTTTCCATATGGTGAAGTTTTTCAGTAGGATGAATTCTCAAATCAGAGTTGCAATTTCTTTGTGGTAATTGATTGAACCTTAAACCTCTATTCCATAGTGAAAGTTTGAGGAAAATCACAACACTCCTGTTCTCTTTTTGGTTTGTTTTTAAATAAGCAATAGTAATCAAAATAGCTGTCCTTATTTTTTGTGGCATTTTTATGCTAACGTTCTTTACAGGTGGTGTAGAAGTTGAGGCAGATGGTTCTATGCATCAATACATTAGGTGGTTTCTGAAAGTTATAAGCTTCTTTGAAGTTACCCTGAAAATTACACAGAAATTTACTGATATTTGAATTTTAAGTGTTATAAATTATTTTCTGCAAGCTCTTTATATTGAAGTGTAACAGTAAGGTGACCAAATAAAATATGGAAAAATTAATAACTGGGATATGAATCTCTGCACAAGGTTTAAAAATGACGGACAGTAAGTCTCCTGGCTCGCTGTGGGTTAGAGAGGAACCACCTTCACCGTTTACATGGTAACCTCGGTAACATCTTAAGCATGATAAACACCAAACGTATTACATGAATGAGTAAAGCAGGGTTCCAATAAACTCTCTTAGATTTGTTAAATAAGAACTTGTTTAATAAAAAGAAAGATAAATCAGCATAGTCTTTTAAAAAGTCTAGATAATTATTATATAAAGATTAATTCTCTGTATTGTATCCCTAGATGTTGCAAATATTCTAAGCCAGTTAGGGCAAAGGCGAGGGATTTTAGACCCTCGTTCTTGTGCAGCTGGCTGGGCTGTAAGACAAAGAGGGCCGCAGTTCGGTATAGCATCAAACAGCATCAAACAGCTCAACCCTCGTCTCATCCTCCCACTGCTTTGTAGACCGACATCCCACACTGAGCATTAATCCGTGCACCCTAGGTGAACAACCGAGCTGGTGTATCCCTCTCACAATCCTTCCATTTTGCTCTGAGCTGACCTTTCTATTTCAGGGATCCTGTAATTAGAAAGCACGGCCCTCTGTGTTTATGTTAAATGTATCCACGCAACCCCTCGGCAGGCGAATCTGAAGGTGGCATGAAGGTCTATGTCTCTGGTTCATAGCCCCATGAGGGAAAAACTCTCCCTATGTGTGAAGTGGGGTTATCAAATTGTTGTTTAACATATATTTCATGTTCTTAGACAAGAAGTTGGATCTTGGAAGATGAAAGCTAAATGAAGGACTCTCAGCTCAGAAAAGTTAATGATTGGAATGTCTGTTTTTGCAGGAGTTTCCTTGGCTCACACGCTCCAACCTTTAAGCTGAAAAACTTCATCCAGGACATCATCGGTGGAGCAGAGATTGTTTCCATCCTCTAAACATGAAGCTGCTCTAATTTTGTGGATTGTTTCTATGAAATAATTAATGTTTTATGATTCTTATCGTGCTGTAGAAGCTAACATTTCACACTTCATTTAGTGAAGCTTTTTTCTCCTAAAATTAAATCAGTATTTTCTTCTGAAAATTGCTGAAATGATAAAGATATGAATTGACACTGTGTGGTAAAATAAACTCAAGATTCTGACAAAGATTTGTGAGGTTGCTGTTTGTCCAGACAGCCAAAATAAAATCAAATTAAAAAACAAAGTCTTAAGTATTGATTTCTCTCATGTTTGTCCAATTCTTGAGTTCAACTTTAATATGAACATGATACATTATGGTGAAGGCCATTATTAAGAAAATAAAACTATATCTATGTATAAACTTCTCTAGTTTGTTTCATTGACTAGTAGACCTGACCAGAGATCTGCAACCTGAGACTGTCTGGATTTCCAGAAGGGCTTCTAATAAATTATAAAGACTCCATTAATACTTTTAGAAGTCATTACAAGGACTACTTACTTTTTTCATCAGTTAATCGCAATAAAGTGATTAACTGATGAAAAAAGTCATAGAAGAAAAGTTCTGGCCCAAAAATATCAAAATCTCTTGGAAGAATATATATTTGTCATGTTGCTAAGGTTTAGATTTGTTTATTTTTAAACCTTAAGATAGAAATAAAATAGATACTTGTTTAAAACAATTGTGTAAAGTAGATATTTATTGATACTATTTATGCAAAAAGGTTATGCAGCAGTTGTAGCTTTAAAGAAATGTTGCTTAGCTGGACTGAACATGAGCTAGACCACATTAAGCTTGCAAATTTTGTTTTGAAGGAGATAAATTAACTAAAAGTTGTGATTTTTTTTTCTTTTGGAGTAATCCCTCCTGACCTTTCAGGTGTTGCTTAGTTTTGATTAGATGTTTGCCAGACTAAAACGGACCTCTGCTATGAAAAAATTATTTTTCTTCTTACAGATTTCATTTTTTTTTTTTTTTTTTTGTTTTTTTGCTTTAACTACATCTAAATGTTTTGGATTATAAAACAATGTATGACCATAATGTGCAAATCTAAAATTCAGTTTTTGTAATGATGCTTTTGCAAAATAAATAAAAATCTATCCTAACCAAGCCAACCCTCTGTGAAAATATAGTTGCCTTTTTTTCTACCTGTTTTTGTTTAATCCAACCTGTGTGGGAGGTACAAAAAAAACAGAAACAATACAAAATTATCTTTTAAACAAATTTCCTTCAATAAAGGGTTATGCTGAAAATAATAAATCCAGACAAGAATGCCCCCTATAGGAGACTTTCAAGACAAAACAACTGCAAGCCAATAAAATTACAAAATGGCCCATAAAGACTTCTGGTGAAATTTTTTGTGGACTGAGAAGACAAAAGTGGAACTTTTTTAAAGTCATACTAAACTGATACAGCATTTTAGAAAAAAAAAAAAGAAAGAACATGCATATTGTTAAACATGGTAATGGTGATGAAATGATTTGGGGCTTTTATGCTGTTTCAGGACCTAGGTGACCGACTATACATAATGAAACCTTGATTTCTCCTCTCCTGCAGAAAATCCCTCCAAAAACTGACCTGCTACAGGTTAGGACAAAATTTAAGTTTTGGAGTTGTCCAGCTAATTCAGGATTTAAATCTTACTTAAATGTGGTGACATAGGACAAATCCTCAACAGAAAAGTAAAAACCTTGATACAAAATTTAAAAACATAAAACATTAAATTGTAGCAAATGTCTGATAGCAACTGATACTGAAGTTTTTTTTAAGTCTAGGGAGAGAAGAATCACACGCTTATTACAACATTATATATTCCTTCTGTAAACTTGGGTTGTCTTTGTCTGATTCCAAGGACTGTTTGATTACACATTAACATATGGCAGAAAAAAAAAAAAAAAAAGCAAAAACAGATGAATGCTGAAAATTGCAAATCAAACTTCCAACCATTTCATCCCTAATACATTGAACTAAATCAGCTGCTAAACTGTAAGAAATTTGTGTCTACACTAAATATTCTAATTCAAAACGTGTAATGTGAGGAATACTTTAAATAGCATAGCAACACATTTCATAAATGCAGGTCTTTAATTTGTGACACTACATTAAATTAAGATTAACTATCTTGCAAAAAAAGAAAGTAATTAAAAAAAGGAAGAAGAAAAAAGGTAACACTATTAATATTTTAGCTGTTCTATTTGTAGGGAAGCAGATTGTGTGTTTGTCTTTATTACGACTCCCTACAGAGGAGTGGAAACAACAATAAGACCCCCCTACAGTAGTAGAGGTCTAATATTGGCACTAGGGCAGCTGGTGTGCTGTCTCCTGTAATTTTAGAGCACACTGATGTGAAGGAAAGATTTAATGGGCATTGGTCAGCGTACCCTCCTGTGAAGGCGTAAGGGAAACCAACAGAAGGAGCAGGCAGAGTGGGAGGGGAGCAGAGGGAGAGGACGGAGAGGAGAGGAGCTGAGGGGGAAAAAAGGCTGAGTTTCAAGGCTGCTGTGGTTCAGACATAAAGTCGGGCAACTCTCTAAGGCAGCATGACTCTTCTTACAATTGGACTGTGTCTGCCACTGTGGTTTTCTTATTGCCTGGCTCAGTCCTCATTTCTGGAAAGCTTCCTGTCATTCCCAGCAGGTAGGAGGATTTCAAACACATGCACATATGTAGGCTGTGTGAGTGTTTGGGTGCACCAGCGTGTGCATGACACAGGTGCTGTGAGCTTCTGAAAGCCCCGATTGTGAGTTTCACAGTGACCTCATCATAATGAAGACTTGTTTTGATTTTCCTGTTTCCCTTGAGGTAGACTGTAAATGCCTCTATAAATAGTGAGAGCAGCTTCAGTCGGTCTGTGAGAGGCACTTCAGATCTGTATCTGGGTGTCATGATTTCATATTTAGCACCTGTTTTCATGTTGCTTATGCTGCTTGTGCACCTTGTACCCTCTTGTCAGATATTTACCAAAACACTTAGGATCAGTTCACACTTTTTAAACACTCTGCAGCAGTTAGACGTTTGCTGACATTACCTCTATATTTGGCAGCAATAGTTTAAAAAACAACACTGGTAATTCTACTGTTATACAGCTGACAGGGTGGAAGTTTAACAAGCAAGTGAATGTGCTGCCATAGTAGTGCTGACTAGAAGGCTTGTTGATGACTAGAACAACCCAGAAGATGGCGCATTAGATTACTAGATTTCAGGTTTGATTATCTTGTTAACATGGAGACCCAAAGCAATGCAACTAGTCAACTGGAGAGCTTTTCTTAGCCTAAACTTACCAAGTTGTAGATTTATTTTAGCTCCAGCAGTGCAATAGCATGGATGCAAAATCTTTAGCATGTCATATTGCCTCTACTAACGAACAATCTAGGTGTTTAATTTCTTCCTAAAATTTGCAAAAGGTAACGAGTGGCATTCTATTACTTGTGCACAATCAGAAAAAAAAAACCATTTTGCAAACTAGTGCGACTTTTGTCCAAAGAAGAATTATACTAGTGACTAAATATGCTGCACAACTAATCTCTCACATCCAAAATGGTAATTTTTTAGATAAAAAAAAAAAAAAAAAAACTAATTAAAATCAAGTATCAAAAGGTAACTTGAGGGTAAAAACTCATGTCACATAATAAACATGTTAGAGTTTTTGAGGCCAGTTATTTAACTGATAAGATTTTGTTGTTGACTAGCTTGTCGAAAAGATAATATTTTAAAATGTATGGTTTGGCACCTGGCTTTGTGTTATTTACTTGTACTGTGCATGAGGTTTCTAAGGTGGACGTTAGTAGAAAAAGCTTGTTTATGTTAGTTCTAAACTAAAATAATATGAACAAACGTCTAATAGCAAACACAAGCCTTGCATTAACCCCAAACAGCACTTAAATCTTAATTAGTAGGAATTCAACAAATTTTTTGAAAAGAAGACATCAATGTAAAGATAAACTACTTGACTAATTTAAATTTAGAATTTACCTAACCTAGTTTGCCAGTTCACATCTAGGCTTTGATATTAATAAAATTTCAGCGTTACTTATCAAGTTATAGGCATTTTTTACCTGTACTAGTTGATGCAACTTGGTAAGCAGTTGACATTTTTTTGTTGTAACCCAATACAGCTTCAGTTATGTCAACTAGTATTATTTTTGAGCACTCCTAGTCAATTAGATAAAATATTGTTAACCACAATATTGGCTTATAAAGAGCTTGAACGAGTTGATTAACTGAAGCTAAGCTCTAACCCAGCTGGCATGTCAGCGTATATTCACTTTTTAAACGTCATGGGTGGAGTCAATTTTGGATTATGTGTTGATTTTGAAAGATGAATCAACGTTTCAATGGCTTATTTGCAATTTGTGCAAATGACAATTTTAAGCTGCAAAATAGACAATTTTAAGGTACCTTATATTTGTATCCTGAATGGCTTGAGACAATACATTTACAAACATTAGATACTGTAAAAAATTAAACATGAGAAATGAATATAAAAGGCATAGCATGTTGATTTAAGTTGAAATTTAATCCTTGATTTGTATTTTGCTAACTTTTTTTTTTTTTTTTTTTTACAAGTATTTCATATTAAATGTTGCTTTAACATTTATTCAAAGTTAAAACTTCCACCAACATTGTTTCAACCAAATCTAATCCACATTTCAACATTTAAGGTCAGACATATGCCAGCCAGGAATAGCTGACTTTTTATTTTTGCTTTTGACTAGCCATTGAATAACTGCAGTTAAAAATGTTTCCCTTAAACTAGTGTCCACATTTTAGTGCACTAGCTCACTAGTAGACATTTTTTAGGGCTCTAGACATTGATGGTCTACTCAAGACTCAAATTAGTCACCTAGTGCACTTTTTCTTGGAGTAGTGACATTTCTGGACAAACTAGTTGTCTGTATAGTGTCAGTAGTTTAATAGTGGCTATAATTCTAGAATTACTGACTAACATCACATATTTGTCCACTTGTTTGGTCTTGTTGGCGAATATGCTAAAAACCATAGATTGAAAATTTGTGCAACTTATTGATCCCTCTGGTTAACCTGCAGGAATTCTGCTCCAACTAGTTGGACAGAAGAGTCACTAAGTAGCACAAATTGCCGCTGTTCAGATTATTTTTTTTCAGTTAGCAGTAAAATGTTGCTGATGTGTAAGAAAATGTCTGACCAGTGGGAAGAAGATCTGGTAGGAAAAAACGAAGGCTGATATTAGGGAGGTTGGATGTTGGCGTAACGTTTAGAAAAGCACATGAACTTGACAGATTTTGAGAACTTTTTAACCTCTGGTGTAATTTGTGACTCCATGTACGTGTGCTCAGCTCTCAGATCCCCGGAGCAGCAGAAGAGATTTAACCCGTGCTGTTTACTGAGTCCTCCACCACCCCCACTCTTTCCTCCACCCCCTTCACTTTGGCGCCGCCACACGCTTGTGAGTCATGTGACTTTCTATTGTGGAATATCAAGTTGTTTATATGATTAAAGTCATATGGATCCATGTGTTTCTTTTGCCCCTTGCTGGGCAGGTTTTTAGCACTATTTGATCCTACAGTTCTCCTGGCCTTTTGTTTAGGTTATGTTAATTCAGCGAAACTCATATTTTACAGGAAGAGGAAAGCTCCCATCATGGCAGTGAGTCTGGTCATAAGAGTAAAGGTTCTACCTGTGTCCAGGGACCTCCTGGCCCTGCTGGACCGCCTGGACCTCAGGTAAATAACCAAATCTTCTGGACCTCGTCATTGCCATTAAACATTTCCAAGAAATCTACCTCATCCTACTTAAGACATGATCAATTATGTGGCTTTACCAAACAACCACTTCATGTCCCATATTGCCCCAATTTCCTCTCCAACTTGATAGTTCCTGCAGGGTGGGATGGGGATTTCTCTGGCCCTTCCAGCACAACAGTCTATTAACGCTCCACATTTAGCTGTGACATAAATAACCTTTTTCCACTGCTGGCCAGTGTGCCACGCTTCGTTCTCAGAAACTGTCCGAGGAGCTGGAAAGACGTGTGGTGCTGCGTAAATTCCAGGGATTACCAACCCATGCCTTTGTGTTTTCAAATCACGAGGGATATAAAAACATTCTTGCTGCAGTTGTTGGCCAGACCAGTGCTGTTGAGAAATTAGAATTTCAGTAAGTAAAAGGCAGCTTACCTCAGACGGTTGTTTAGGCTTCTGCTTACACCACAAACTAGTCTGCAATTCAGTCTATCAAAAGACCCATGAGGCACTTTTTGAATCAATAGAGACCAGCCAGCCTTCGGCTAATTAAAACTGCAGCTCTGCTCTCCAAGAAGCATGTTGCGGACAGTAAAACTAATTTAGATGACTATCTATATGATTTATAACCAATTATTTTGTGGTTTCTTATGTTAACAAGGGTCCCCCTGGATTTCCTGGGATGAGAGGACCTAAAGGAGAAAAAGTAAGCAAGTTATTGGATTCCCTTATCTTGTCATTATTCTTGAAAACAAAGATTTAATCGACCTGTTGCACATGACTGAAAAATGCTTTTGGGAAGTCCATTAAGTGCCTTCTGTCCTTGTCCCCTCCTTCACATCCTGTTGTCAGGGAGAAATCGGAAGACCTGGGCAAAAGGTGAGACTCCCCATTAATCATGCCGTATGCTTTGCTGCTGTAAGTGGATTTCCTCAAAAATGAGATACAAAGCATCCCCTGCCTTGCGTGCAAGCAAGCTTACATCAAGAGAGCAACTGAGTGCAAGAACAACCTTGATAGGAGGCAGAGCAGGCAGGCTGTCAGGGTGCAGAGGATGCAGGGCTGCTGAGGCTAACTGCCTAACTAATGCACAGTGGCAGATTCAAGCAGCTTCGTGATTCACCACCTAGCTTGAAGAAATGCAGAGTTTTAAGGAAAAATTAGGATGTTGTTTTGTTTGTTGTTTTCTTACAAAGCAGAACTGCTCCACCACATCAGCAACATTTCAAAGCAGAAGCTTTGAAATGTTGCTGTTGTGGTGGAGCAGTAAGTGCAGCCCCTTACTGAGCAGGTTTGCAGCACTGCAGTGCAATTTAGCTTAGTGCTTCAGCCAGATCATTAATCATTTTATTCCCAACAAGCAAAGAATCTCGGTTCTATATACAGCCATCATTTAATTAGAGAGAGCAAAGTGACAGTGCTCGTTAAGGCTATTCTGCCTCTACATGTGCAGCAGGGCTGGACAGATGTGCTGCCTGTCAATCCAATGATGTTAATAGACCTCTTTCTCCCTCGGTTTTTTTTTTTCAAACGTTTAAAGCAAAGCAGCATTAAAAGTCCTGATTTTATAGATTTATAAAGATGATGTGTCACATCAGGGTCGGACAGGGCCTCCTGGGCTTCCAGGGAAACAGGGACCTGCAGGATTGCCAGGACCACCTGGGGACAAAGTGAGTAAGTCAGACCTTATAAGACATTATATCATTTATTCAGCTGCTTGCAAAAGTAGGCATATCTCTTGAAATTATTCACATTTTGTTGTGATAATGAGGAAAAAACAGCGCTTAAATGTGAAAAATAGGGAAAACGGTTTTAAAAATTGATAAAGAAAAAGAATAGTTAAAATCAAGTTGCAAAACAGACAGATTTGGAATTAAGATTTTGATTGATTTTATACAAAATTAGGACTAAAAACCAAATAGTGAATTTATATTGAATTTCTTAGAATTACTAACAACTTAAAGCACTTTAGTCTTCATTACCTCTTTTCCATTAACTCATACCCAGAAAAACACAAATTTGAGGATTTTAATGCCTTACCCAGGGGAACACTTAGAGAAGGAGTGGAGTCAAACCCACACCTTTCAGAAGTCAAGACAAATGACTATTCAACTGTATCACAATAACCCCTTTTGGGCTTTCAACACAGAGCAGTTTCAATATATATATTCTGTAAATGGAAAGGTGTGGCCTAATTGCAGACCTACAAACGCTATATATATTATATGAATGTTCTATGAATGTTCATTCTTATTGATATGTATATGATATTTTTCATCTGTCAAACATGTTCATGAATTTACATTGTATACTGTATTTTAATGATGTGGAACCCAGGAAGAGTAGCTGGGTGTAAAGCACAGCTAATGGGGATCCTAATAATAAATAAACAAAATAAATATATTCTAAGAGGCCCATAGTGTCTTTGGAGGGGTTGCAGAGATCTACAGATCTGGTGGAAATATATGCTGACAGGACATATATAAGTCCTACAACATTGTTCTTGATGGAGGACAAACAAGAAGAAAGCCTTAAAAAGGTTGGTTTGCCACAAAGCAAGTAGTTTACACAGCAAACATATGGAAGCTGCTCTGGTCAGACAAAGCTGAAACTTTTTGGTCCGCACGCTATCAGTAGAAGCAAACTAACCTCCACTAAACACCAACATCCAGTCTATGAAATGAGTTATAACTTTTCTTCTCCAAACTGGGATATGAATACTTTTGCATTGCTGTAAATAACATGGGAAGCACAGAGAAAAGCTTTGAAAGTTTAATTGAATAGTAGATTTGGACGTGCTTTCAAAAATGAGACTTCTTCATGTTTTCAGGGTGGGAAAGGTGACCCGGGTTTGATGGGTTTGCCTGGATCTAGAGGACCAATGGGGCCAAGGGTATGATCTGTATATCAACCACACATTGTTGCTTATTTTCCCATTTCTGTTCAGTGTTACCTCATTATTTTAAATGCCTTTAATCCCAGGGTTTACCTGGATACAAAGGGGAAAAGGTAAGAAAGGAGTTTAGTTATTTTTCACTCAGGAGATTTTAAGCCATCTAAGATTGCTTCTTCTCCTTTAGGGTTCTCGAGGTGATCGTGGTGAGCTTGGTCTTAAAGGAGACAAGGTGAGTAAAATTAATCAGTATAGATTTGCATCAGTCTTCTGTATGAAATAAGAGTTCATGGTTCCTTCCGCCCCCTATCATCAGGGTGCTACTGGCTTCCCAGGAATGCTAGGACAAAAGGTATTCTAACAAGCAGAGGTTTACACCTTGTTCTCTTAGGAGTTCAGCTTTGAATATTTGACTAATTAGAAAAATATATATATTTTTATGCATATATGATTTGTTTTGAAGGGTGAAATGGGTCCAAAAGGAGAGCCTGGGATCTCAGGAAACAGAGGACCTACAGGCCGTCCTGGAAAAAGAGGAAAACAGGTGAGGACTTAATAAAAAAAGAAGAAGATATTGTGTTTGCACACAGATACCAGAAAGAAAAGACAAATAAAACACAGAGAAAAATGTTTCAGTGTAGGGAATAAAGAAAAGTTTCTGTTAGAGGTGACAAAAACATTTGTCACACATTAATCAATGGCAGTTTGGTTATTTTATGTGCTTTTTAGCGACAATGCATTTTTAAAGTTGTCTCAACATTTCTGAACATATGTAAATGTTTTTTGTAAATCTCTCCACTGCTGTTTTAGGGACAGAAAGGAGACCCTGGAAAAATTGGTCCAATTGGACCTACAGGTCCACAGGGATCTCCTGGTCACCCTGGACCTCCTGGTTTACCTGCCGCAGGTATTTTTGCCAGCAGATTCAAATCTCTCTTGAATTAACATGTATCTCAATGAATTTACACAACATTTATGTCAAAGGAAGTTTTTTTGTTTTTTTTTTTTTTTTTTTTTGTTGAAAAGGGATTAAAGACAGAGTGCAATTAGAAACAGACAGCAAAGACAGAGCAATAAACGATGAATCCCCAGAACTCGTATATAGCAGCAAAGAAATCAGATCTCTCTAGCTGAAACTTGAGGATGTGATGATGACATCGTGTGGCTAAAGTAAGTTTACACATGGCAGACCTCCCCCACAGCTTAGAAAATATTATGTCACCGCATAATCAAAGTGACATTTATTGAAATCACGTCCTCATCCCTGCTCTCCTAGTTGTGGGTTTGTTTTAGATGATTCAGAGAGCAAAATGTTTCTGTGCACCAAATGCAGAAATCTTGTTTTTTTAACCTAATTAACTCGTGTTTCTATTTGAAACTAGTCTTGTGTGCATATGTGTTTTTTCTCTGCAGATCAAACACCTCTTTTTTTTTTTTTACAGGACTCTATATGGTTGGGACAAAAGGTGCTCGAGGTCCACCCGGTCCCCCTGGGAAGTGTAGCTGCAGCTCCCTCAGTGCTTCACCGTATGATGATTATCCCCACACAGGAACCTATGCCAAAGTGCCTGTGGTGAGTAAAAATGTTGCCACTGAAGCACAGTATCTAAAAAAAATTTGGTCGAATGTTTTAAGAAATTATTCCCTTTAGATATAAAGAGGCCTTTAAAAAGCATGTGTACCTCAAAAATGTATTTTAGTTTGATTTTAAGAGAAAGATGGAACTGGAAGGTGAACCTTTGCTCCACACAACTAATTTTCTTGTTGCATTACCCTGCATTAAGCTCAATTATGCTCCTTCTCCCTGCTGAAGAAGCATCCACACAGTATGATGCAGCCTTTACCATGCATTATCATGGAGATGCTGCACTCAATATAATTTGCAGTGTTTTCCTTGAGGCACTCAATTTTACTAAATACTTTCAGAGTATGCTGGTGAAGTTTCTCAGTCAACCAGGTCATAGTCATTCCAAAAAAAATTTAAAAAGTAAAAAAAACAAAAAAAAACAACTGGACTTTGTTTTTCAAGTTTGAAGATTTATTGCTTCCCATCCAGGAAGCTTTTTCAAATGAAAATGTTGAAAAAACTTCCTAGTGTTTTTTTTTTTTTTTTACTTCTTTGGTACTTTCAGGGTAAAGGGGCCTATACTAAAATGCCTTTAAGGTATTTTTTTTTTATTTTTACCTGCAAATAATGCAAAAGACATGTTTCATTATTTTCACACGTCAAATGAATACACTACTGGTTGGTCACATTAAATCACTAAAATAAGATGTGAGGTAGAGGTTGCAACCAGACAATGTGTAAAAAAAGTGATTAACGTTTTTTGCAAAGTACTGTAATACATTGCAGATATACCTGTTTTCTATCTAAATATTTAGTCATTAATTGCATTATAATATTTCTAAAGGAGTGTGCATTTGGGATTTAAACATACTCATGTCTTGGATATACACTTGTTCATGTTAAAGTTATCTAGTGCTTGAACTCAACAATGAAACTGCATGAAATTTAGAAAACCTGTGAGTACACCACCTTTTTTGTTTCATTTCAGATATTCGTGGTGAGTAATGAGGAAGAACTGGATCGGCTTCACACTGACAATGCCCTTGCATTCCGAAAAGACCAGAGATCCCTCTATTTTAAAGACATTGATGGCTGGCTGCCAATCCAGGTATCTGTAAATGCAGACATTTTCTCCAAATGTTTCCTCTCTGAGCTCACAGAATGTGGTTCGACTCACAAAAATTCTGCAAAAGACTTTTCCATTCCAGATGACGCCCTTCCAGTCCATGGAAAATGCACCAGACGATGAGGGTTACTGCGGTGATGGGATAGTGCAGATCAGCAACGGGGAGGAGTGTGACGACCGGAACAGAGTTGTTACAGATGGCTGTGTCAGTAAGTCTACTTGAAAAGGTCTTAAACAGGCTCCTCAGTTGTACATTGATGTGTCCGTAGAACCTGACCTCTACACGCCTGTTGTCTCATCTTACTGTAGAGTGTAAACATGCTTACTGTGGAGACGGATACCGCTATGATGGGGTTGAAGAGTGTGATGGAAAAGACTTTGGATACCAAACATGCAACTCATATCTTCCAGGGTGAGTATAATAAAACATAGCTGTGGTCTACAGCACTGTGCAGCAGAATTCAGTCAGTTAGCTTTAATTTACATTTTGTGGCCAATGAGAGAAATTTTTTCTAATAGATCTGGATCAGTATTTCTTAACGTTTCTTTACGGTTTTCCAAAGTGTTTCTTTGGATTTTGATGCTTTTCACCAAAAACTTCTGCCTTCTTAAAGCTGATTTTAAAACATTGTTTTTTTAAGGTCACCACAACTTGTGTTCATTGTAAATTATTCAGACATTAAAAAAAATCAACACATAAAGGGTCAAGTTTTATGATATGTTTTCATCTATAAGCCAGTAGCTCACTCTGGATGCATATGAGTTTTTTCAAAAAGATTACAAAGTCCTGCTGCCGTATTATTTGTTATATTTGTGTTTGACAATTTTTTTTTTCTTAACGGGTTAGTATGTAAAGCCCAGTGACTGAAAGTACAAAACTGTACGCAGGAGATAAATAGGAAGTAAAAGGGTCAAGGGAGTTAGCCCCTCCCAGCGAAGTTGTGAAATTCAAGAAATATCCAGAATGAAGAAATGCAAAAAAATATACATATATATTTGATTCCAAGATGAACTCAAGTAGTACTTTGAGCTGATGGATGCTTTGGTAAACATCCTTATTAATACTGATAGCATGGAAGTAATGCTATTCACACTCTGTACAGTCTAAGTACCGTAAAAACAATATTATAAATAGAGTTATTGACTCCGGGGGCAGTTTTCTGTCACAGCTGCTAGAACCCAGAGATCAGATTAAATTCATTGCTCAATTAAAAATGTCCATACCGAAAAATAGCATTTTAAAATATTTATGTTGTGTTCATTCCAATTAACCTCTTGATACCCAAATATATTAAAAAAAACGTTTTACCTTTAACTTGTAGTTTGAAATGTCAAAATTTTGTATTATTTCAAAATAAATAGAAATATGTTTAATTTGTGACAACATTTACACCAGTAATGAAACAACACCTTGCTAAAGGTTCCTAGGTTCACACTGAATGTGTAATTACTGGCACTGAGGGAATGCACATGCTATTTTGGCTGTGTAGTAATACAAATGGCTTGTTGCTTATTTGAAACAAAGGGCATCAAGTGGTTAAACAGTTTGGGCTTATGACTATTTATTCATTTAAATATGTCTTACCTTGCTGTGCCCCTGTTTGAGTCTGACAGAAATGTCAATTTTCTTTTTTCTTAAAGTTTAATAAAAGGCTATTGGGAAGATTCGCTAGAACTTAGTGTTGAACGCTTTATTTTATTAAAATACTTTGGTCTTCGATTGCGCTGAGCTGTCATTTCACTGTCAGGCATTACAGGATGGTCTGGGTCAGTCAGGCAGAGCAGAGGGTATCCGTAGAAAACCTACATCTACGGGTAGAAAAAGCCCCATACTATTTCATAGATGGGGGCCCGAGTATAAATTAACAAAATGCGGGTATCATAGAATTACAGTATCAGTGAAACTTATTTATATATCCAGATGAGAGATTTTTTTTTTTTTTTTCTAAGCCACGAGGCAAACCTTCTTACTTTGGCCAATTTAGTCGTTAATCTGTGAGCCCAGCGCCTACTGGATGTGAGCGTGTGGAAATGTTCTTTACTGTCTCTGTTATTTTTGATGGCTGTGTATACACTTTGTGATCATGGCTTGGGTCGCACTTTATTATTTATGGGTCCGTGCGTTCATGGCCAGGTTTTAGATGAGGATAATTGCAGGTAACGGGTCGGGTCGGATACAGTTTTGAAAAATCAGACCCATGCAGGACTCTGCAGTCAGGCTCTATTTGATTGTTGCATCAGTCGTCTCCGTCCAGCATTCTGATATTTCCACTGTATTACCAGTAGATGCTGCACACATCTGCTTATGTCTGCTCATGGTTTCCAGTGCTAAAACTCTATTTTATCCTCAAAAAGTACTATGTAAACACTATCAGGAGGGACACTTGGTGTATATAACATGATTCTATCAGGTTCCTTTTTGTATAGACACATAACCTATCTAGAATAGTTCAGGTTTACTTGAACTAGACAGATNCAGGTTTACTTGAAGTAGACAGATTGCATCTCTGAACAACACTTTTCAAGTGAACTGGATAGGGTCTAGAGCTTGTATCCCAAGACTTTTAAAGCTTCAAAAAGTGCCTTCATTGGCCAAGCTTGGAGTACTTAAGGCTGTTGCTTTTATAAGGTTTCCTCCACATCCTCCTCCCAAGGAACTGTGAGCTCTACAATGTACAGAGTTTACTGAGGAGGACCAGAGCATGATATCGTGTCCTAGATCTGTGTTGCCGATCTTCACATCTATTGTCATCCCCCAGTTTCTTGTTGCTTTGAACTGGCAGTTGCTCAACATTACCTGGCCATTGGTTGGCTTTGCACCCTTTCTGATTGAATCCTTTCACAGATCCAGCATGGCTTGATGGAGGATGAAGGACATTGATCTTAATCCATCTCAACTCCAGCGCAGCTAACAGGGGCTTCAGAACAAAGTTGTGCCACTAAGAGAAGCAGCCTTGCAAGCGTCGTACAGCCCCCCACAGTATCTCAGGGTTGCAGGATAAAAGCAAAGGGAGCATGTGGGATATTCTCCATATTATTGATTGTGATTAGATGGAGATGGCTTATTTTATACGTAGCCTGAAAGATGAAGCTGGGGTGAAATGCTTCCATGCCTAAAACCTTCCTCCAAGAGTTTTCTATTCACAGCTCCCTCCCCTCCCATGTCATCCACTTTCCTCGCTTGGTCTGCAATGTGCACTTTACTGCCGGCTCATGCCTACTCACCTTCTCAATGCATCTGCGATCATTTGGAGCTGCTGTATGTCATGATGGTCTGTTTTCTCCAAAACCACGGACTCCTTTCCTCTGTTGAACAAAACTTACAACGTCAAGCTCTCCCTGCTTAACAGCTGCAGTTCAGATCAGTTTCTTTCCAGAAACTAAGGTTAGGGACAGCTTGGGATAAGCATGGATAAGCATTTTTACCCTTACATTGGAACTCTCCTACTTATTTTCTTTTGAGCTTAAACCACAAAAAATTGTTAACTTAGAAGGTGACCTTTTTTTTCTTGTTGCTAACAACTACCACTTTCATAGACTGTTCATCTACACAAAATATTGATTTTGGGGGCAGACATTTACTCATTTATAAGTAAATCAGGGCTGTTATTGTCAGATTCAACTAAACAAAGTGCATAAAAGCCACCAAAATCCAAAGAAAAACTTAACTTAGGGCTAAAGAAATAATGCTGGAAAGCACTTTGATGAGAGTGTGAACACAAAGTACAAGTAAAAAAAATTATGAACTGTACTTTGTTTTTGATACCATGTTGTTGTTTGATAAATGACAATAATCTGGAACTTTTCTCCTACATTTATAGGTCTTATGGTTTCCTCAAGTGCACACCTTACTGTGTTATTGACTCTACAAACTGCAAGTTTTTTACTTGAGGAAGAGTCTGGATACAGCGGCTGGATCCTTTGTTCGCTGCTGCTTTACACACGATGCAACTGTATTCATGCACACAACAGATACAAGAAAAGGAAAACTTCTTGGAAATCAACAGATTTCCAAGAAAGCAAAGCAACAGATGTTTTGCAGTAAAAGGACAAAAAAATGACATATCTGTACAAATGCACACACAAATCATCTGTTTTTCTGTGGAGATGCCTCCCTGCTATGGAGGCCCAAAATCTGTATGTGGGAAACATGCAGGACAGCTGCACTCTGTCTTAAGAAGCAGGACTTCAACAGGCTTCCTCACCATGCCACACCGGACCGGAACCAAATGCTCCAAGTGTTCCAGAGAAGCAGCAGCTGACTCTAAAGTGCATTCATCCTGACCTGGTTACTGTTAGAAAACATTACAGAACAAGAAGGAGAGACAGTTTGACATATTCTGCTGTACGGTGAATAACAGCAAAAAAGACATTTAGCTTAACGTATCACAACAGCAGTGTCAAAATCTGCAACTGGACCCACCCTAGAGTTTACCTTAGTTGTATATTTAAATATAAACATAAAAAAAAGAATATATATATATATATATATATATATATATATTAGGGCTGCAACTAAGGATTATTTAGCAAATTGAATTAACCTGTTGGTTACTTTTTTTGATTAATCAATTGTTAATCAGTAAGCAATGGTTCCTTAGAGAAGACTTTTTAACCATATGAAATTAATGCTTTTCCATTTAATGAGTTCTGATAGTGGAGATTGACACAAAAAGAAGATTTTTTTCTTAAATGCAAAATGTTTACTTTTTTTTGTTTTTAGAATATTGGTATAGGCGCTGCTCAAGGTGGGTTGTCTGTCAGCTAAGGGCACATTTTATAGTCTCTATACTCCAGTCAACGATTAATCAATTGCTAAATTAGTTGACGATTATAAGACAATAATCAATTAATCATGATTAATCTTATAGATTTTTTTCAGCCCTAATATAGATATATGTACACACACAACTGTTTCAACATACATAACTAAGTTATAAGGCCCAAAGCTTCAGAGTTTGACTTCAGTATATATAAAAACTTAATAAGACTCAGACTGTAGAGTTCAGAGCAGAAATTTAAAGACATACTCAGGAACAGGTGTAGCTCCACACATGTCTCGCTTTCTGTTCAGAAAATGGCTTTGGGTGTTCTCTGCCTCACACAGGTAACTCAAACAAATGCTTTGACACATAATATCCAACCTTGCATTTAATTAAACTCCTCCCCTGTGCTTAGAAGCAAAAATAAAAAGATGTGAAGGCTTGAAACTGTTAAAGCTCTTAATGTTTCATTCATTGCACAGAACCGTGCAGAACTGGAAGTATCTGTAGCTGCTAGCTGGGAGGAAATATAAATTCCTGTCTGTTCTAAGGTCATTACTGTATCTAATACCTCTTTATCCAGTTTTTTTTTTGTCTTATAAAGCAACAGAGAAACTCATCAATATCCTTAACTGCGTAGATGTAGTGATGCGTGCTGCATATGACCGTGATGATATAAGCTGACATTTTCAATAAGCTATTGTACGAGTTGCAGTGCCAAGGAAGACCTTCTTAGAGCTCGGACTGTTAAAATCATCATGCCTGCATGTGTAATGGTGTGAAAATACACCAGTTTTGTCAAGCGTTGTTTTGTTAGTCCCATTTGCATTAATTGGCCTAGCTGGTGTCTTAAAGTAGCACCCCCTGCAGAGTATATCTTATTACTGAATGTATGACGAACTGTGCCATGAACTATGATGAAACACTGTTATAACTGCTGTGACTGTTGTGTCTGTTTGTGTTTCTGTGTATGCACAGCAATGCCGGAAAATGCATGTGGTGAGGTACTGTACCGCCAGGCTTTGTGAAGTCATGATTATTGTTACTATCATACACTGTGACTGGTTCCATGTTGTTTTGTTGATATTATTTTTACAGTAGCTGTGCAACATTTTGAGAAAACAAATAAAAGGAGATTTCAATTATTCCATGTCAGTGATGAGCTGAAGGAAATGAGACTGATGTATCCTGTTGTTTAATGGCCTCTAATTATATGGCACTTTTTCAAATCCAAAGAGTCCAATGAGCTTCACACCACAATCAGTTCTTCACACGCTGATGTTAGCAAGCTACGGCGTAAACAAAGCTGCTTTGGTGCAAAATTAGATTAATTAATCTGTCATTAATCGGCACCAACAGGTTTTATAATCTTCAACAGCAGCCAAGGCAGGTGAAGTGTCTTGAACAAGGACTTAAATGACAAAGACAGACAGAGTGGAGCAGCACTTGAACCCAACAATAAAAAAGAAACCCACCCTCTGAGCTATAAAAGGTCTTTATTGTTGCCTACAGCTTTCCTGAGTGTTGCATTAGACAAAGTGGTAAACATGAGGTGGTGGCAGCATCATGCTGTGAGGCTATCCATCCCTCCATCCATTTTCTGTCAGGCTTATCCCAGCTGGGGTCACAAGGGGTGCTAGTGCCTCTCTCCAGGCGGGGTACACCCTGGACAGGTTGCCAGTCCATCGCAGGGGAACACAGAGACAAACTGGACAAACAACCATTCACACACACACTCACCTAAGGAGAATTTAGAGAGGTCAATTAACCTAACAGTCATGTTTTTGGACTATGGGAGGAAGCAAGAGTACCTGGAGAGAACATGCAAATTTTATGCAGAAAGACCCCAAGCAGGAATCAAACCCAAAACCTTCTTGCTGCAAGGCAGCAGTGCTACCCACTGTGACACTGTACAGCTCGTTGTGAGGCTCGTAAATCACTATTTTCTCTTTTTTCTAAAAGTCAGATTTCCAGATGTTACAATCAGCTTTATACCCACTTACCAAGTACAAAGAGGTTAGACTCCAAAGGTGAACGAGCAAACAGCTCCAGCGTGATTGGTGGATTGATCGATTGACTGACGATGGATGGATACATAACTCCCAAGTTTCATTTTGTTAACATTCACATGTAATCTGTCACCTCCTTCCTTAATCACCTGAGTAAGATCTAAGCTGGAAACTTTCTTCTGGGACATGTCTGCCATTTTATTCAGTAATGTGAAAACAGTTGCAAATCAAATTAAATTTCTGATGTAGATGAAAACAGATGCCTGTCTGGGAATATGTGCAGCTTTCATATTGACTTGCAAGCCTTTCAATTGGAGCAGCTTATTAAAATAAACTCATGTAAACAATAAGATAAGCACAGTCAGAAAACATACATATCCATCCATGTTATCCAGATATGAATTATACTTGAAACTCATTTCGTTATTTTTGAGGACTGTGCAGGAGGTATCGCTTATTTTAAAGATACACTAAAAGCAATGAAGATGTCAGAGCGGAGTTTGCTCTCTGAGAGCAGCTCAAGGCGAAAGTTTAAAACAGGCAGCTTGCCAAAACTGCAGCAGAGAGGCTTGAGGCTGGATGTAACTCCGTAAGTATATCAACATACTGCTTTCCTTTCCCAAATCGCATCAGGACAATTTGTTTGAGCAGAGGCCAAAGTAAAAGCTTACCTTATCCCATCATGAGCAATCCCACGGACCAGGCCAATTGCATTTGTTACCGCTGATGTCTAAACACAGCAAGAAATATGACTGAAAGCTTGCCAAACAGTCCTGTTTACTATGTGATAAAACAATCTCTGTTTTATTCTCACAAAAGGTGCCCCCAAAAAATCACAACAAAACATATATACCCCTTTTAAATCCTAGAGTTTAAAATCAGTGATTATGTAATAAGTCCCTTTAAAAACCCAAACAAAATTGGATTTTAGAGCTTTCCATTTCTGCCAACAATATGGATCACTGTGATCAACAATCCGATGATCAGATCATTTACACACCTACTATAAACTCATTGCAGCTCAGTTATGTTTACAGTATTTTATTTCTATTCTATTTCTTCTATCATCTAGTGTGACTAAATGTAATACGTTAAACTAGTTTACAGTTTGTTTATAGTAAAAGTATCATGTGTTTTATACCAACTTCAAAAATATAAAAAAATAACCTGAAGTGCAAGAAAAAAAATGATAGCTTTGATGAATATAAATGATCAATATAAAGTTGACAAATAAAAAAAAGTTGATCATCCTTGGTTTAAAAACTTAAATTTCTCACTGTGAAATTGATGCAGGTCCTTCCTTGTCTTTGTATCAATCTGGTCCCAGACCAATCTTTTATTTTTTTATTTCCCACATAAGTAATAGTTTCTACATGATTGAAGATATTTTGATGCCAAACTGAATCTCCTCACCACGATATTGTGTGTTTGTTACTATATTTATATAGAAATCATTATAAATTCAAACCAACCCAAACAATTTTTTCAGGGCGCCCCATAGTTGCCCCGGGGCTCTAGGAGATTTGCCTTGGCCTGGCCTTTTTAAAACCTAAATTTTGAAAACAGTGATGACACTGTCACTGAACTACAGCAGCAGACCTCAACAGGGACTGGGATCATGTGGGTGGTCTGGGGGTCTCTGATGGCGCCATAGGGGTCGCCACTAGGAGGCTGCCTGCCTTGGTTGATTGTTGTCAGTGTGGGTGCTCAGGTAACGTCCCAGGGGGTTGGGTTTCTTCCAAGTTGGCCTCTTGGCCCTTGAGGTCTGCATCGCTGGCGAAGGGCCACAGGGTAATGCTAGGCACCTGTGCGTGTCCCTCCTTCCTGACCTCTCAATATTGTATACCCTCATCAGGGGACAACATCCAATTATTTTAAAAATATAACCCTTCTTCCTTGATCCTTCAATTCCTGAGGCTTTGGGTTTGGCAGCTTGGGGCCCTGAGTATGGTTGATCTTTTAACATTCTTGCGACTTTTACAGACAGATAGCTCAATTTTACTTGGTGCATTTACATCAACAGTAACAGATTTATTTAAACCCCCCCCCCCCAAACCATTCGAGAGACACAAAACAAAAATTTGGTCAGGGACCAAAACTGGACATCCAAAACATGAGGAAGAAAACTAACACTCACGTAACCTTGACTGTGAAATATTGTGGTGGGAGCATTATGATGTGAGGATACTTTTCTTCAAGAGGTACTGGGAAGCTGGTCTTAATATAAACGAATATATATTTGAAATAAAATTTAAGAACACCAACTTTCAGGCAGTTACAGAGATGTTTAGATCAAAGCATGTGCAAAATGGCACAAAATCCATTTTATAAAACCTACAGCAAAAGTAATGTTTTGAGATGCTCTACATCCAAAGAAGAATGGGCAAAAATATCAGCAAAGATATCCAAGCCTTTAGGAACAAAAGTACAAAATAGGAAAATCAAATGTTATTTTTTCTCAAATACTTCTTTCATTATTTTTTTTTTCATTCCAACAGCTCCTGCAATAATTAAAATATGCAATATTTAGACAAAAACAGGAGAAAAAAATTATTAAGCTTTGGAGAAAAATATTAGGTCACCTTTATTTTTAAGGTAATATTAATTCAAACCAAGATAGTAGAAACAAAGGTGGGTAATAATGTGCATTTTTCCATGACTGTGGGTTTGAAAAAAGCTAGATTTTTCTTACATAATAATAGCATATA